CGTATTAGTGCAAAGGGATGTCGTCTTTCTCAGTTTTCTGTTGAGGTGATGAAGTATTTTAAGTTCAGTAACCATTACTTCTAGTGACTGCTGACCAAATCTTCTTAATTCTGTCCTAAGCGTTATTCACTCTAGACATACATTCAGCTATGTGTGGAACAGCTATATGTATATAACCCACCAGGATTATACACCAGAACTTAAGCTCAATATACCCCAAACACAACTATCTCTTTTAGAACTCATTCTTTCTTTAGACTTTGCTATTTTTATTATTTTTCCGTTTAGAACTTAAGAATATTCTTTACCTCCTGTAACCAGTGTCAGCCTTTTCCGTTCTGTGTTTTAGTTGTTTTAGTGTTTCTCACATCCACCCCCTCAATTTCATCTCTCTTTCTTTCATTCTACTTCAGACCCTCATCATCTTTAACTTGTGATGCTGGATATCCTCACCCTTCTCTGTCCATATGCTGATAAACCTAGCCCCAGTTTAAATCATGTTAAATGCAATACTTACTACTTCAGTATCTGTCATATGCTGAATAAAATTCAAATTTTCTCAGACTGACACTTCCAGCCTTTCAGTTTATGCTTTTATATTTTTTTCCAAACTTTGAGTATCTTCTGTAACTTTCTCCATAAATAAAAAACCTTTTTTTTTTTGAGACAGGGTCTCACTCTGTCACCCAGACTGCAGTGCAGTGGTACAATCTTGGCTTACTGCAGCCTCTGCCTCCCAGGTTCAAGTGATTCTCCTGCCTCAGCCTCATGAGTAGCTGGGACTGTAGGGGCATGCCACCACGCCCAGCCAAGTTTTGTATTTTTGGTAGAGATGGGTTCTCGCCACGTTGGCCAGGCTGGTCTTGAACTCCTGACATCAAGTGATCCACCTACCTTGGCTTCCCAAAGTGCTGGGATTACCAGCACGGAAGCCACTGCACCCAGCCTAAATCAAAAAACTTTTTAGTCAGACTAGATTATACTTGTTGCCCTATGATTATCCTCTGATTTACTGCCTTGGTGCCTTTTCCTATACTAATCACTCCACCCTGTATACCTCTCCCACAAGCCCCCTACAGCTGGTGGAAATGGCCACCATCCACTATCCAACATCCATTGAAGAAGGCCCAATCAGATGCCATTCCCTCCATGATGCTCTGTTATGGACTAGAAGATTATACATCTAGGGATGTAAACCCTCAAAATATTTTGTTTTATTTTTAGTTTGCCTGGTTATTTATTTTGTTTCTCTTTAAGCTTTATATGGTCAGGGGCTTTTTGTCTTATATGCTGTTTCTCTATGCCCAAGACGAGCATGACATGTTAATAAATATTTGTTGAATAAATAAATTAATGCTGTCAAAGCATTAAAGGTTTTATTTTAAATGGGTTTGGTTTTCAATAGCTTTATTGTTGTTTTTATTATTTATTTTTATTGTACTTTGAGCTCTGGGGTACATGTGCACATCTTGTATCCTACAGGATTGTTGCATAGGTACATACATGCCATGGTGGTTTGCTGTCTCCATCCCCCCATCGCCTACATCAGGCATTTCCCCCGTGTTATCCCTTCCCGTCCTTACTGCCCCCCGATGTCCCTCCCCCCGCCACCACCCTCCTCACCTATCCCACTGAATGTTGTTCCCTTCCTTGTGCCCAAATGTTCTCATTGTTCATCACCCTTCTATGAGTGAGAACATGCGGTGTTTGATCTTCTGTTCTTGTGTCAGTTTGCTGAGAACGATGGTTTCTAGATTCATCCATGTCTCTACAAAGGACACAAACTTGTCATTTTTTATGGCTGCATAGTATTCCATAATGTATATGTGCCACATTTTCTTTGTCCAGTCTATCATTGATGGGCATTTGGGTTGGTTCCAGGTCTTTGCTCTTGTAAACAGTGCTGCAACGAACATACGTATGCATGTTGTTTTTAAATTTTAAATTACTTTTCCTTAAACTTATTATCAAACAAGTGCATTTTATAAGTTGTTTGCTTTAGCCTTCAGTATGTATTGTTGCCTATTTGCATCAGTAGTATTTTCAGCCTATTGTTTTTCCAATAACTAGATTTTAAAGCATATAATGTTAACAATAAGTGATATTTATTGAATACTTAACTTCATTCTAGGAACCGTTTCAGGTGCTTTATGTATATTTTAATTCATTTAACCCTCAGAACAATACTGTGAATTAAGTACTACTGTTAATTACATATTTTAGATGAGAAACTGAAGTACCGCAGTGAAGGGTTTAACAACTCGCCCGAGGTCATGCATCTAGTAAGTTCTGGAGCCAGGAACTCTGACTCTAGAATGTGCACTCCAAAATTGCATTGCTATATGGTTCAAAAATAAATGACCCTGTTGGGAATGTTCTAAAACAAGATTGTGATGATGGTTGTACAACTCTGTAAATTAAAAATCATTGAATTGCACACTTATAATGGGTGATTTTATGGTCTTAAATTATAATTTGATAAAGACATTTAAAAATTAGATGATCTACGTTCTTATTAAAATGGATTATAATTTTTTCAATATTTCATGTACAGTGGAACTTTTAGCCCTGAGTTCTCTTTCCACTGGAATATGGGAATGGGTGAAGTAAGTAATCAATGCTTTGCCTCTGTTGGCTAAGGAAACAAAAGTTTATGTCACTGGTATGAGCTCTTTGGGGGTGAGGATTTTTTCTTCCTTACCTTTGACTCTGTTGGTATGTAAACCATTATAGCAGGGACTTGATAAGTATTTGTTGAATTAAATCTCAAGGGCTTTATTTACCTGCACTGTAGATATTTAAATTGTATCCCCAAAAATCTTGGCTTTCATAGTCTAATTGTAAAATATGGACCTTGTGCAATATACATAAAAGGTAAAACATATACACTACCTAAATGCATAGATATTAACATATAGAAGGGAAAAATGTAACTGATGAAAACATTATGTACAAAACTTTATAGATTAATATGATTGCATATTGATCAAAGTTACTTGAGGAAGCCCAAAGAAAAATTGAGTTAACATAGTATTTACTTATAAAGAGTTTTAAAAGTATTCTTAAAACATTGGAACTCACAGGTAAGGTTAGAAGAATTAAAAATTTCTGCTAAACTTGGCAGAAATAGAAAACATATGAATATTTATGGATGTGTATTGATATTTAGGACAGAAAAAAAGGAAATCATGAACCAAAAACTTCAGTTTAAATTATATCCATAAGAGATGGTGTTAGAGAGTCAAATGTATAAATATAAGCAAGCAGTTAATATAATCTTATATTTTCATTATATTGAATAAATAGGTTCAAGAGAGGGATGTAATTTCACTGTCGCTAGTGACTTGAATTTAGTCAAAATATAAAGGTCAAAATGAAATATTTGTACAAACAGTAAGATTTTGTTTGTTTGTTTTGAGACAGAGCCCTGCTCTGTTGCCCAGGCTGGAGCACAGTAGCTCAATTTTGGCTCACTGCAACCTACCCCCTCCGGGGTTCAGGTGATTCTCCTGCCCCAGCCTCCTGAGGAGCTGGAATTATAGGTGCCTGCCACCATGCCTGGCTAATTTTCATATTTTTAATAGAGATGGGTTTCATCATGTTGACCAGGCTGGTCTCGAACTCCTGACCTCAAGTGACGCACCCGCGTCAGTCTTCACATAGGGAAAAGTGAAGGAAGATGTGGGAAAAGGTTGAGGTGGGTGGATATATCATATCTAAGAGGGCTTTTTTGATCATGTAGAGTTTGGATACTCTTCTGAGGTTGGTGAAAAGCCATTACATGGATTTTAGGAGAGGATTGGCATTATTCAAGTTACATTTTTAAAAGAATCATTCTGGCAGCTCTGCATGGAGAATAACTACAGGGAGAAAATGGTGGAAGCAGGGTGACTGATTAGGGGCTATTTTAGACATACAGGTAATTTTCTGGACAAGGGTTTTAGTGGTGAAGGTAATGTTTGGACTCTGAAGATTTTTTGAAGCCAGAGCCAACAAATGGATAATGTAAAGCTCTTGTTTTTCACAGTATTTTAAATTATGCCTTTTTAAAAAAGAGTTGGGCAATGGTATAAAATAGAAAATGTGATTTGGAAAATAATTTTATAAAACACATTTGCTCATTCTCTGTCATGGGTGCCTTATTTTTTAATGGTTAATGGCGTCTTTGAGAGTGAAAACTTTGGGTTGCATGAAATAGGGGAAGCCTGTTTTGAATTTGTGTTATTCTAGCCAGTTTTGACCAGTTAATTTTATTTTTATTATTATCTTGTATCAATTGGAAATATGGAGTAAATGTTCCCTAATTCTTAAAAAAAAAAAAAAAAGATCAAATTTTTGGGATGTTACAAAGCACAATTGACTTCTCTATGGTTATCTATGTAGGGCTATATTACCTAAATGGTCAGATTCTCTGCAGGATGACTATAGTCTCTAGAAAGCCTATATAAGGGATCCCTCTCTTTAGTAGAGAGATTCATGAGCCATATTTCTCAGCATCAGGACAGTTATGATTTATTTTGTAAGCGGACAAGGCCAAACATTACTGTTTTAACTATTATAAACAAAATAGTAAATGTTAAATGTTCACTTAATAGAGCCACTAGTAGGGCTTTTTATATACACAAAGTAAAGTCGGAGCCAAAATGTGAAACAGTTCTCTGGTCTGTGTGCATTCTCTTTTAACCTACTTTTTGATTCATTGCAACTGGAGAAGTGATGCAACCAGTGATGATTTGTGCTCCAAAGCTCTTGGTGCTGCAGTGAGTCCTCCCTGTTTCATTTTTGTTTTTTCTTCTACTAATTACCCAAGCCTTAGTAATTCATCAAAATTTTAAAAACTTTTCAGACATGTTTATTATAATATGTTAGACCCAAATTAAAGGGCTTTGCAAGATTCTGTTAAACCTCAACCTTTTAGAATATTTTTTAATATTTACCAGTTTTTTTTCCTTTACACAGATTTAAACTGGTAATAGCAAAATGATACAAAACTGTCTTAAAATGTCTTAAAAAACTTCGCAAAGTTGTGTGTCATCCTTGTGCAGGGCTACGGTAATCTTCTCTGTATTGTTCCAATTTTAGTATATTTGCTGCTGTGAGCACAATGTTTACCAGTTTTGTTCTTTATCAGTTTTCATGACTTTCAGCTTTAGCCTACAGAGTAATGCAAGGATCAAATCTTAATTCAGATATAATTTTAAAGTTATTTCCCCAATTTTTTATAGTTAATTATAGAACTATTCTCATTGAGTGGTATTTTTACTGACTAGTCTGTTTTTTGTTTATTTTGTATTTTGCTGCTATTATTGTTTCTTGCTGCTGTTATTGTTTTTTGCCATCAAGGTTTTAACCTGGATGGTAAACGCTAATGCTGCATTGATGCTCACGGGGCAGGTGGCTAAGGAGCCGATCACTGCATTTGCCAGGTAGTAACCCTGATTTATTTTGAAAAACATTCTTTATATGCTCTCTATTTGAAAATATAGCAGAAAACACCTATTATACTTGTCATGTAAAGCTTTATTTTTTAATCACAGAAAATTATATTTTATATTGTGACTGACTATACACATATTTTTGTGCAGACACACAGGCATATATGAAACTGAAAAAGAAGTTAACCATAACAATTCCTATTGCAGCATGCACTCCTTTTTTTTATTTTTTTGTATTCTAATTTGTTTCATGTTTAAAGTACTGACCAGAACCTATTAAACTGATTTTATGAGTTAGAATCTAGAGTTTGAAAAACACTTGTAAAGCATGTCTCAAATATAATTTTATCTTTTCAGAAGCCTTGTGACATAGGCAATGCTAATATTAACCCTTTTCAAACATAGCGAAAGCCTACACTTTTAAAACAGAAGTTGGACTAAAGAATTGAAAACAGAAAAACTGGTTTAGGGTATTGAATGAGCAGAGGACATCATGAGCATAGTGTGCACTTGAATGGTGATAGAGAGGAAGAGGGACTGCAGAGATTGAGAACAGGAAGCAGATGAATGTAGAATACATTTTGTTTGCTTTAGCATTTTTACCTAAGCTCTTGAAGACATCTGATATGCCACTAGAAATCACCCGCGGCTAAAATTTACCAGGTTCTTGGTATCTTGAAAAGCTATCAACATTAGTTTGCAAGGCTCTACCTGTTAGCTTCTTAAGGTTCACCTCTAGAAATTCTCATCTATACCAATCCAATTCAATTTATCTAGGTAAGTCTATTTCCCAAAATTCACTTATTTGCATACTGCTTTTATAATTCTAGTCATATGTATACATCATCATATTATTTTTTAAATTGTTAGAAATTGATTTATTTAAATATTCCAAATAATTTAAAAAATTTGAGATTAACTTCAGACAGCATATTAACCATTTAAAGCATACAATCATTGGTATTTAGTGTATTCAAAATGTTGCAACCACCAGTTCTCTAGTTTCAAAAATGTTTCATCATCCTGTAAAAACACCCCAGACCTATTAATTAATAATAATTCATTCTCCTACTTTAAAAAGAAACATTCTAATACTATCAAAAATGTAAAAAAACCAATATGATTCTAAATAGAACATAGCAAATTTTGAAAATAAAACATTAGTTAGCCGGATACTAGCTAGATACTATTATCTGCCAAGGCTCTGTGTCTTAGATTTTTCTATGTTAAAAAGGGATATTAGCAAAAGTTATGGGGGTATTAAAGACACATTAGTGCTAAATCAAGACTTTCTGCTTGGTATAACTAAAATAATTGAAGGAAATTTTAAAAGTATACCTTTCTCACTATGAGATTGACTGCTATTTAATGTTATTTCTTTACCATCTAAAGTTTGTCTTGCTATAGCTGAATTCATTCTTCCTTTCATTTCACTATTAAAAAGGGTTGCATATTATTCCCAGAGTCCTTTATAACTGAATTCCTAAAATTCAGAGAGTGTGTTCTTCTAAATATTGGTGATCGCAGTTTTCATTATCCTCAAACATATAAAATCCATTATTTACCAAGTAGTAAACTAGATGATTTCAGAGTTTTAAAGAAAAGATACAAATAATATAAATATATAGTTTATATATATTTATACATATATCTTTGTTGTAAAATTTATAATAATTTATATATGTAAATCTTTGTTGTGAAAATTAATTTATGCATAACTAACAGACTATAAAACTGATAATAGTCAATAGACAAGTATATTATGTTCTAAAAGTTATCTGGTTTAAACTATTTGGAACTTTTATACTTTTTCTTAGAAACTGAGTTAATATCAGCTATTATGGATATTCCAGATTAGCACAATATGGCTTATGTTTTTATGATCTTCTTTAAGTTCCCCAGTGGTGGTTCTGGTATGATAGAAATAGTATTTTGCATCACAAACTTCAGTTTCCACATCTGAACAATAAACCTCATCTCTACCTAGTTATAATGAATCAAATAAGAAAATCTTTGTGTAAGTAAATAGCACAGTCCCTGGTACTTGGTTGAAGGTCTATTAAGTGTGCATTCATTTATTCAGTCACTCATATTCATAGCCATTTTAAAATTAATTTTTAATTGACAAGTAATAATTGTACATATCCATGGTGTACATAGTGATGAATTCACCCTTTCTTTCACTTCACTGTTATATTTGATACATATAATGTATAGTGATAAAAAAATCAGGATAAGTAACATCCATCATCTCAACATTTAGCATTTTTTTGTGTTGGGAATTTTCAGTATCCTCATTCCAGCTATTTGAATGAATTTTCAATATCTTCATTCCAGCTATTCTGTACCACCTGCTGTGGTGTTTCTCTTTTCTAGCTCTAATTTTGTGTATCTGTTAACAAATCTCTTCGTAACCCTCTTTTCCCTCTGCCTTTCTCAGCCTCTAGTAGTCTCTGTTTTACTTTTTACTACGAGATTAACTTTTTTTCTCTCACATGAGTGAGAACATGTGGTATTTAACATTCTGTTTGCAGCTTATTTCACTTATCTTCTAGTTCCATCCATGTTACTATGAATGACAGGATTTCATTCTCTTTTATGACTGAATAGTATTCTGTAGTGCATATATATAAATTTCTTTATTCATTATTGGACATCTAGGTTGATTCCGTATTTTGGCTATTGTGAATAGGGCAGCAGTAAATATGGGAGTGCAAATATCTCTTCGACACATGGATTTCTTCTCCTTTGGATACTGTAGGGGATAGGGAGAGTTTTCCCTTGGTTCCCTGACGTTTTGCTGAAAAATCAACTCACAAAAGGCAGATTAATTAGAGAAAAGGCATACAGATTTATTTATCATATATACACTGGAGCCTTCAGAATGAAGATCAGAAGATACAGCGGAAATTGTTCATTTTTATGCTTAGGTTCAACAAAGTATGGACAGTCATGTAGAAATATGATTGGACAAATAGGGGTGATCTAATGCTAACAGGCTGGGGAAACCTAGGAGGGCCATCTGTCTAGATTCTTTTTGGGTTCTCTGAGTATGCATTCTTTCCTTCTGGGTATGGGACAAGACTCTCTCTGGAATGGGGCTTTTATAACCTACAGTCAAACAATGTAGGTTAGATAATTCCTTTGTGGTCAGTTTTTACACTGAAAGCCAGAAGGAAAATTAGAGTAATATTTATAGGATTTATGACTAGCTTTGAGGAATAGGGGTTTTGGTTTCTACAAGCCGCCTTGGGGGCCAGGGATTCTAGTTTCTATGGCCAGCCTCTGGAGAGAATGGGACAGAGAGACAGGAGGGCTGGAGAAAGAAAAAAACATTTGCTTTAGAGGCTACCTCTGAGGCTTTAATTTTGGGATATTGTTTTCTGGGCCCTAAAAAATGTATATTTAATAGTAGCTTTGCTGGATTATCTGGTAGTTCTATTTGTAATTTTTTGAGGAATTGTTCTCCATAATGGCTATACAAATTTACCTTCCCACCAATAGTGTATGAGTTCCTTTTTCTCCATGTCCTTGCCAGCATTTGTTATTATTTTTTTTCTTTTTGATAATAGTTATTCTAATTGGAATGAGATGTTATCTTGTTGTAGTTTTGATTTGCATTTCCCTGATGATTAGTGATGTTTGTATTTTTTCATATACATGTTGATAATATGCATGTCTTCTTCTGTCTGTTCAGATCATTTGCCCATATTTTATTTTTTGTTTTTATTATTATTATTATCTGAGTTGGAATCTCACTCTGTCACCCAGGCTGGAGTGCAGTGGTGTGATCTCAGCTCACTACACCTTCCGCCTCCTAGGTTCAAGCAATTCTCCTGCCTCAGCCTCTTGAGTAGCTGGGATTACAGGTAGCCGCCACCATGCCTGGCTGATTTTTTTTTTGTAGTTTTAGCAGAGATGTGGTTTCACCATGTTGGCCAGGCTCGTCTTGAACTTCTGACCTCATGTGATCTGCCTGCCTCAGTCTGCCAATATATATTTTTTTAAATTAGAAAAAGTATTTATTTCTGCCCCTTTCATACGTCTTATTGTTCAGGAAACAGTCTTACAAACATACCTGAAATAATCTACCATCACACACTCTAGTTAAAGGCAAAGCACCATAGGTAAAGCTGATCAGCTGTCCAGAGTTCTCAGCTTATGGAATCTTGCTTCTTGATTTTATGTTAATTTCTGAAAATCAGAATGTCATTTCCAAAAAATGTTAAGGGGGTTGTAAAAAATAATCACTTTATTTGGTATTATAGTTGTAGATATGGAATATATTTTCTTTAAGAAATGAAAAACTAAGAATAAAATGCCACTCAACGTCATTGGTATAGCAGTAGGTCAGCAGGAAAAAAAAATATTGTGATCAGCTTGTCTCTTTAAACCAAGAAAGAAATTCTAGTCCAAGTTTCAATATACTTCCTACTTTTTCACTAGATATTTCTTTTACTGCTGCTCTTCATTCTTTTCCACATTTCACATTAGAGGATTGGTACAGCCTTTAAACTTCCTTGACAGGAGCAAATCCAGTATCCACTGATTTCTTCTCAAAGGCACTCTAACCCATCAGATAGCCCGGCAGTTTCATTCTCATGAATACTCTAGCCATGAAAAAACTCAATAGAACACAGACGAATCCAATGAATAGAAGAAGAAATC